GGACAGCCATGCCACAATCCCTTCTCCTCTCAGGATCTTAGGCACACGTGCCCCGGCATGCGCATGAGTTTAAGCCACCGGGTCTGGGACTCGAACTGCAGTTGACTACATGGGAGTCCAGTGACATAGCCATTATGCCAACTGCTGGTCCCAAGACCCTGTCTTGAGAGGGTTTTAATTTTTTTATTATTATTATTATTTTTTGCTATAGGGTGCATGTGCACGCCAGACAGAGAGAAACAGAGAAATAGAAAGCGAGAAATCACCCCCCGGGGGGATGGCCACACCGCAATCCCTTCTCCTCCATTCTCCTCTGGGGATCTTGGGCACGCGCGCCCACACACCCAGCGTGAGTTTTAAGACACCGGGTCCAGGACTCGAACCGCAGTCGACTACATGGGAGTCCAGCGACATAGCCATTACGCTAACTGCTGGTCCCCCAAGACCCTGTCTTAAAAAAAAGTTTATGGTACAAAATAACTCCCTCTAGAGAATACTCCCAAATAGAAGATGGATATGGCTTAAAAAAAAAAAACACCAAAAAACATATTCTCCACTTACTTTTCACATATAATGTCGTGATGCATTTACCAATATAGAAGTTGTACTTCATTTACATACTCTCCTCTGCCCCAGTACTACTTACATCAGAATTAAAACAAATTCTAAATAAACTTATGAAAGGATTAAACTTTAGATTGTGTTTATTTCTATTTATCTTTTTTTCATTTGCTTGTTCAGTATTTTGCTATAGGGTGCATGTGTGCACTTGCCAGAGAAACAGAGAGAGATGGAGAGAGAGGGAAAGTGAGAAATGACCCTCCAAGTGGATGGCCTTCTTCATTTTCCTCTCAGGATTTTGGGCATGCACACACATGTACCTGGTATGCTTTTTAAGCTATTGGGTCCAGGACTTGAATTGCCCTGTTGGTCATGTGGGATCCATTATCTTAACCACTACACCACCTGCTGGACCACATATTTATCTTTTATTACACCATAACTCAACAACATTACTTTCATCTAATGACAACTCTGGAGAGAAAGATCGAAACTACTTGGCTGCTCTGTGGAGCTGGATCACTGGAATAAGAATATGGCTCAATTATTTGACTTTGTGGTTTTGACCTTTATCTTGAAACTTTCTCAACCTCATCAACTTTGTAACATCATTAAAATATCCGTATTACTCAAATTAACCTCACTCCTTGGATCTACAGAGAAGAGCCAGAGAACTCCATGTACTGGTCAATTCATTGCTAGCTACATTCACAATTTTGGAACTCCCTGTCCTTCTTGTCACCACTACCTTTTCTCCCCTGATATGGCATGAACTAATCTTTCCAGTATATACAGTTTCCACTGTATGTATTATTTTGTTGAAGAACATTTTTTTTTTCTCCTCGGATCCCCATTTTTGCAATGTTTCCAGTAGTTTCTTTTCCTGTACCAAGGTAAGCACACTGTACTGTTCCTGGGGCTTTTAAAAAAATACCATACAGCTGATCCAAGTCAAGTGGGCCTGGAGAAGGCCCTGACAATGCTGTCTTCACTGGGTCTGATCACTACTACAGTGTTCACTCCTGTTTACTCTGCAACGCTAGGCCAAGACCTGGCCTTTACATGTTCCCAGAATCCCTGGCAGCATTTTTTATTTGTTCATGAATATAAGCTTTACAGTGGTTTTGCATCTTCTTCAAAGTCTGAGGGTGAACAAAGTGTGAAAACTTACTGGGCTGGGATAGTTTTCTAAACACAGGACTTGGAGCCAGCTAGAACAGAATTCTAATTAATATCCTATGTTGGCGCACTTATAAAATATACTAAAAGTAAAACAAACTATTTGTTGTAACAGAATTCACTTTTTTCAACCTCTGGTATTCATATTTTCCCCTGAATATTGAAAGCATTAACATCCAAAAATTTCTGAAAGATATTGAGGAGAACTATGATTATGGATTCACAATGTTTAATTTTCTTTTTTAATTTTGGAGAGGTTTTTTTTGCTAGAGGGCACGTGCACTTGCCAGACAGAGACAGAGAGATAGAAAGCGAGAACTCACCCCTCAGGAGGGGTGGTCACGCTGCAATCCCTTCTCCTCCATTCTCCTCGCGGGATCTTGGGCATGCACGCACACACGCCCCACGTGAGTTTAAGCCACCGGGTCCGGGACTCGAACCACGGTTGACTATGTGGGAGTCCAGCGACATAGCCATTACGCTAATTGCTGATCCCCACAATGTTTAATTTTTTAAATACAAATTAAAAAAAATTTCTTCATATCCTACCCTGATGACTTAAGGATAGACAATAGAGTATCAAAAAATAATCCTAGTACTCAAAATGGGCTTTATTTCAGTATCATGGTTTTATCATCCTAAAACACTAAGAATACACATAGAAATCACAACTCACAATTTCTATTTGAAGCTTTCAAACTAGTACACTAGTATTAGATTCTCTTCTATTTTGGCTGCATTTTGAGTAATAAAACAAAACTTTTTTTGCTTGTTCGTTGGTCCCTTTTAAGGAAAAAAAAAAAAGGAAAAAGGAAGCCAAATACCAAGAAGCAAGCATACCCGCATCAGGGAATGGCAGGGTCAGGGAGTCAAGTACCCTTAGTGGCTTATTAGATAACCTAAAGGCCACAGTCCCTTCTCCACTGGCCCTCCAGGGAATGCCAGCCTCAGTGCCAGGCAGCAGGGCACTGCAGCATGTGGGGAGGGAGTTTTGTTGGCTCCCACTGAGAAGTTGGCCTCATGGGATTCCTGTCATCCTGCCAACCTAGGGCACTCCTGGGACACTGTGAGGAGAGTGCTAGCCAAATCCTACACAAGGAGTTATCTCCTTCATGTTCTTAGCCACCTTTATCAGATTTATGGTGTTCGGAAATGTGCTGAGGAAAGTAAGAGAAAGGAAAGGAAAGGAAGTTGTTTAAACTCACCCAAAAGAAAGGAAAGGATACTTCAAAGTAGTTGATTTGGGAATGAAGCCCAATACCCCTTAATCTCAGCTCAGTTGATTCTTTTTGCATTTAGCAATGGGTTAAAGAAATTTCAAATAATTATGATCCTACCTATTTTGAATCATCATATCACTGCTTTCTTGGAGACAGTGGTCTAAAGCCATTGTGGCATAAATATAGGATAATCCATGTGCCATTTGACAATAATCAATACAAAAGCCATAATCAGCCTTATATGTAGATCCATGGTGTAGACATAAATTTAAAAAGCAGATATTCTTAAAAAGAGGCCTTCATTTACCGTTTCTACAGCTATTAATAGGGAATGTAACTTTTAACAAGGTTCCACAGGCTCCATATATATATGCGGGTACTCAGATGAATATTTATATACACACGTGTAGACGTTAGACACAACATAGTCATCTCACTCAGGCATGCAATCTCTTTTGGAATCAATAAAGACAATGCGTCTCTAAGAAATGTTTGCATTTTAATGCATTTTTTTGAAAAATGTGTGTGATGCCAAAAGAGTGAAAATCATAACCTTACTTTCTTTCAAATGGATAAACTTAGACAATTTATCAACGCTTCCTTAAATTTTTACACCACACTGAACTCCAACAGGTTTTTGTTTTAAGGTAAACCAGGTTTTTGGTTCTTCCCTGTGGAGAAGTTACTTTCAAGTCAGTGAAAGTTCTTGGCCCATGATTAAAAGTCTTTGCCAATTAGTACTCAACAACTTCAATTCATTTTTTTCTGGTTCAAGATGAGTAGGAGCCTAATAAGGCTGTGATAAAAGGGCAAAAGGCACTGGGAGCCAAAAGCGGATTAATGAGCTCCTCCATTTATTTGTCTTCCTAACAGCTGAACTGTTACAACTATTGACACTCTTCAAAAGGTTCCGCTCTGAACCCTGTCCAGGCACTGCAGGCTCCAATGGACATCTTCAAATCCAGAGAATGGAGGGGCAAGAGCTTCCCCTGTGTGATGCCAAAACCAACAAAGCCCCATGGATCAGGTAATGAAACTTCAGCTTTTCCCCCTTTGAGATTTATTTACTGGCAGCTGACAAGGGGCAAATTCAGCTCGAATTGTGCAGTCAAGGCCCTGTCAAGCTTTTAGAGGCACCCTTGTCTTGAAGCACCTTCATGACTGGCATTTCGCTCAAAAGCCCTCGGCACTGGTCCTTAACAGCTTATGACATCACAAAGGACACTCCAGACAGATGCCTACATGGCATCCTGCAGCATTTTAAAAGAGAATTAGTGGTTTTAATTATGGTCGTAGTATGAAAGGGAACCATGCAAGCTCCACAGGAGATCTTTGATCAGACCCTTTTGCTAGTACAATGCCACGGAACTGTGACTATTCCTGGTAAGGGGCCTTTTCTTGCTGAATGACTCACCAGTGATCTTTGAATGCAGACAAGCTTCTAGCCCTCCCTCTTCATTAGTGAGCATTTCTATACAGGGGCCTATATAGTGCTTAGAGTCTAGGAGCTATACAATTGGGGGGAAAAGAATCCCTACAGATTCTGGCCTCTACTTAGGAAGTGCTGAAGGACTCTGAGTGACTTTATTCATTAAAACAGGTTGCTATTAATTAACTGTCATAATAAAATAAAGAACTATTATTTTCATTTCTTACTATGTTCTCTTTAGTAATATGTATAAAAGATGCTTGTAGCAGAAATGAATTTATTGAACCACTTCCCCATTCCTCCCAATCTCTTCTTCTCTCTCTCTCTCTCTCTCTCTCTCTCTTTTTT